AAAAAAAACCTTTAAAAAGTGAATTTTGCATAATTAGGTCCCCTTTAATAAACCGGCAGGCACAACAGTGTTTAATGACTTTTGCGAGGTAATGCAATACTTTTTGCGTGGGAACGCAAAAAAGTTAAAAAAAAATCCATGTCCCCTCACAGGCTCAGTAAGATTTGAGATTTTAAAGCGATTGTTCTGGTTTTAACTGCACCACAATGGCTCGACTTTACACAGATCAAGTCATGCCAACGAGTTACTAAAATAATTTGAAAGTCTGAAGGCAGCAAATCTCCCTCCTGCTTCCTCATTACTGCCAAAAGTATGACTTGTGCACAGAGCCATGAGCTAGTTTCCTTCTCTATTAGTGTATTATTGCACCATGGCCCAATGCTGTTGCAAGAAAGCTTTTCTACGGGTAAAAAAATAAATAAATAAAAAAATAAAAAATCCCCTACAAAATGGCAACAGGAGATTATTTTCAGCTAAAATAAAATAGATCTGTAAAGTGGACATGCCAAGTTATTACCAGAGTGTAATTTACAAGTTTGATTGAAAACGTTAGAGAGATGAAACAGTGTCAAGAAACGGAGGGGGAAATGGATGACGAACAAACAGAACTTTCTGAAAGGCTGGGGAGAGGAATTAGACAGCTTGTYGCTGACAAACACACAGACTGGCCACAGATCCTGGTAAAACGATTAGATTAAACAAAGACAAACACGGAATAATCTGCTATAAGAGCAATCAATCCTCTGAGCCAACACAAATGCGTGATTTGGATCCACACCTAAACAAGGCTGATATTCTAGAACACGCAGCCAAGTCTGCTTGTTTAGACACGGCAGTATTTGTTCTGTGCAGCTGAACGGGACAGCAGACTRACACATAGAAAGCTTATCTTTAATCACTTATATTAAGCATTTTCTGAGAGGAAACGGCATTACCGTCATGTGGACTCTTTTCTTCTGCCAACTGAACTGAGTCGACGTGATTTCAGTGCCACTTGTTTATCTGTTAGTTTGATTAAAAAAAAAAACAGAAACTACAAGGCAGAATTATATATATAAAAATAAAAATAAAAATCCATAAACCTTTGGTGCTGATCTGAATCACTTCACTTTCTGCTGGTTTAGCAGATAAAAGAACTGTAGTCTTGTAAGACTTCTCAGCATTAGGGTTTGGTGTCCCRATTTCAAAGAAGATGAGAAAAAAAATCTTTGTAAAAAATCTCTGCTAATTAAAACAGTGATCTTAAAATGGGAGAAATGTGTTTTCAAAGCTGCTTTATAAATTCAGCGAGAGAGAGAGCAGATGAGACTTTAAAGGAGACATGATGCTTTTAAACCTTTTTTCCTATTTAAATCATTCAGTTGGAGTCTATGTGGAACTGTAATGCTTTGGTCTGAATATTATATTTTTGTAACTCCACAAGCCACACCCCTTTTCTGAGGTGTGYCTCAGATCAACTCGTTTTGAGACTGTCTCTTTAAATCCAAACAAGGTGCTTCAATCAGCCAAAATTTGACCTTTGACTCAAAATGGCTGACTTTCTGTTGGTTTCAGAGCATACCTCCAAGAGACKTTTTTTCTTGATTTGGGCAGATCTACCAATGCCCCAAATTTCAGCTCTCTAGGACTTACCAGTTCCTCTATCTCACATTAGGTGGCGCTGTCGAGTCATTTGGCCACGCCCATTAAAAATTCCAATGGAATCTTGCCTTTTTCGCTGGGGGACAATTTTGGGTTAAGTTTGGTGAGTTTTCGTGTATGGCAAAGGCTCCAAATTTGCGTTCAAGCTTCCAAACTGGTCCATTCTAGTTTGATAGAGGGGTTTAAGGCTATATAGCTGCGCAGAAATGCTTTATTTACAAACTAATTATAAGATGCTTTAAGGGGAAGACTTGTCCATCCAGCCTTACATGTTGGACCAAGAGCGAGATGAAGAACGAAGGCRACTAAATTGCTTAGCTGGTAAATCCAGACCTTATTTGGCCATTATGTTGCACAAACTGTGACGTAAAGTTCAGAAAATGTTATAGAAAACTGAGAAAAATGAATGGATTGAAAAAATCTGACCCGTACAGCAGCCAAGGAAGAGAATAAATTTAAATTTCTGCTCTCAGAGACACCGGTT